AACTTGATTCACTAATCTTTACCATATTGGATTCATATGATTCTACATGATTAGCTCTAGAACATATTCATCATCTCTTAAATGATCATATTTAATAATTTTGCAACTGAGCCGGTAAGATAGACGATGGTTAATGTTTTCCCTTTCCGTCACTTATATACAACATACCACAACCTTTATCTTGTGCAAGGGTTATAGTTTATAGTTAGGTGTTATAGTGAATGAATAAGACAGAGTGAAACCTAAGTTGATTTTATCTGTGTAGATACAAAAAAGGCAAACTTACATTTTTAGGTTACCTTTTTGATGCAGTTCTAAAATTCTATATATTTAGATAATGATGTGTAATCGTTTTCAACGTGGGTTTTACCCTGTTGTAAATCTTTTAATGTGAGTCTTACATTGACGCGTTTTAACAGATGCTCTAAATTACGTTATTTAATATATTATAAATCTAAGAGAATTTCTATTTGTTCACTATGTGTACATACACGTGTAATAAGAAAACCAATGAGATTACACGATCAGGTGTAACGTAAAATTATTGCTTTCTTTAAAAATCTAAGTCAAATTTTCGCTTATGAAACCACCTTTCATGTATTAATAAAAAAATTCCTTGCGAAATTTTGGTATAAACTATTCCTCTGTCATCCCAAGCCCACCCTTATCGAAACCTTAAGTGGCGCTCAATTTTTTGATTTATACGAATTATTTTGATTTGCACGTGACGATACACTACGTGTAATCTAGGAAATAATCTAAATCTAAATTACGTTATTTAATCTACAATATATAAAATTACTATTTTTCTCGCGCCGGAGGCACGGGCCAAAAGCTAGTGCTTAAAATATAAAGTCATAAAAAAAAAATGTTTATTTTATACTATTCGATACCAAAATAAACAGAACTTGTCTGATTTTTTAAATAATATTATAGGAAAAAAATCATTATTATAAAAGCATAGTTAATTATTAAAAGTTTTTGAAATAAATAAACACTACGAACACTATAGCAGACGTCAAATATACCACCAAAACAATGCATGATTGGTTCTTTTCTAGCATCAGAAACACCACCTCTTGCTTTGAAGATTTAGATCTCTGCAGTTTATTCAATCATATATCCTAAACAGGGCTTGAAACGTCATTTGTTCCAGCACTGATGTCTTGAGTGTTATTTTTTTTTAGTTTCATTCAAGATCTGACAGAATTTCTTTCTTAATTTGTTTAAGTTTCGCAGTTTCTTCCTCTCTTTTTTTTGAATTTCTTATTTTATAGTAACATATACACCTATTGACGTAAAATGAATTTTGATCCACAAACAGAAAGTCCAACGACCATGCAAAGCAAAAATTGCAAACAAATCGCGCCTATTACACATAAAACAAATAAATTTAATTAGAATTATTCATAAAATGAGATTAATATAAAGGAGAGGTTATATTACCATCATTAATCTCATACATTTTTACTTAAGGCTTTAATAAGCTCGTCTTCAGCATTATCTAATATATAACTTACAGCTTTTTGGATTTTTTTCTTGTCAGCACTGAAAAGGTAAATTAGTCATATAAACAAATTAATAAATTAACATAATTATATTTAAGAGCATACAACGTACTGTAAAATACAATTTTTACCGCAATAAAGTAATGACGCGAGACGAAATACAACAACAAACATGGCTGTAAATATTACAAATAAATATTTTGAGCTATCAACATAGCCACGTTCAAGTGCTAAGAAAAAAAATTAAATGAATCTGCAGTATTTATTATATCAAAATGAGCAAAACTAGCAAAACTACAATTTCTATATCTTGAGAAAGATTAATCCATAAAAACCAGCAAGCATTAACAGTACTAAAAAGACAATAAAAAAATCATTAGTAACTTTATATGCATTAACAATATACAAATTGCATATACAAAAAAATTGAAGAGGATGTCTAAGAATTTTAAATACATCAATATCAATTTTTGAATTAACGCATGTAACAAGGAAATTTAATATAGTGGCCATCAAATCAAAATTTGCTTCAGTGACTGAATTAGCATCTTCAAAGCCCTCACGGAAAGCATCAACTGAACCAAAAATAAGATGCTAATTGCCAGTGAAATCTTAACATGGAGATTTTTGAAACTTGAAAACATGGAAAAGATATTAAACATTGCTACAAGATTTTTGCAAACAATATTGATTACAAACTGTATAATCAGTAAGAACAAATTTTATGTGTTATATAGTAAAACAATCCAAAGAATAAAGTAAATGCTGCAGAGCGAAAACCTGTAACTGACCATAGCTATTTAAAGGAGAAAAAAAATAAAAATAATCGACATTGAAAATATATAAGAATTTAAGCTGTTATCCTAATTGTATTACTTTTCTTTACCACAGATCACATCCTTTCTTAGTGAGGTGTAAGTCTTTTTTGCACCATACCATATGTAAATATTTTATTGAAATCGATAATTTAATTCTTTGTTTTGATATATGCTACCTGATAATGCATGGTATATAGAAAATTTAAAAATCACCATCTCTTTAATGTTATTGTACGTATAGTAAAGTAACACAATATTTAGAAATATTTGATTTCAGTCCTGGTAAATTGTAATTGGAGTATCAAGAATTTTACAGTTCTGATACAGTTCTAATCATCCAAAGACATCCAAAACTGTAACCCTCAACGAATATTTGGAAATTCGCAAAAATGAAAACATAACTTTATAGTCTTAGATAAGGCCTACAAAGTTACGCCTTTTTTTTTTTTTTTTTTGAGAATTTCATTATTCACCGAGGAGATACAATGAAAAAAAATGAAACAAAACAATAACAGGAAGTTTCAAGGGCTAATAATCGGCAGGTGCTATTTGATTGGTTGTTTCTTGTCGTTACCCATACGACTAGATGGTTTGCACCGTATTTTATATTCCTCCGTTTATCCTTTCAACTAATACAAAGTTTCTGGCTTTCCTTTGTTTTTTAAGACCATTATTATGAAAATAATAATAATAATGATTAACAACAACAACAATATATACTGTAGTTTGTCTATATTGCCATACTGCATAAGATCCGATTCATTTAAAGATATAGTCTAACCTCTATAATCACACCATCGGGGTCATAGTGACATTTTTTTTAAAATGTGCTTATAAAGAGTTTGTGCTTATATTGAGATTTTTGTCTATATGTTATAATAGTTGGTTTTGAAATAGACGTGCTTATAAAGAGAATTCTTATAGTATGGGAGGTGACTATAATAAGGCTCGACTGTAGTTAAAAAAATTTTTTTAAAATTTACATATGATTTTGATGTTTTTAGAAAGATTGAGAACTGATTCGCATATTTATGTTCAAGTGCTAAGAAAAAAAATTACGTATTTGAGTGCTGTGGTT